AGGTGACGATCGCTTTCCTTTCGCGTACGTCGGAATTTAATGTAGGAATTTAATATACCGTAATATTCCGTCATATTTCGCTGCTTGGCAACGACGGTGGGACAACTAAAATAACGTCCGGATAAAAGATCCGCGTTATGTTTCTATCTCCATCATGCGAAACGGTATACGTTAGATTTCCGCCAGTTTTGCGTCACAGGGCAAAGTTACCGTTTATGATAGCTATCAATTTGGTTTTAGTTTCGCGATAACGCTGGCTCGTCTTATTTCCTGACGCTATTTTCGGATTATACTATTATACTAGGATTATATAATTTTCGCGCATGGTGCATCGGTTATCTCGTTTAATAAAAATCGATCATTTCGTGATTATCTGGCGATAAGTCAGCCGCCTTAGAACGTCACCGAAACGACTCGCGTGGATTTCTTTGCAAATTTCAGAAAACCTCTGCTTTAAAATTTACATCTTTTTAGTTTTGCCACTGTCGACTCCAAGCGTAATTTAATATTTCCATAATGAATATATATAAACTTTCTTCCAAAACTATGTAACATTGTCTTTCGTGGATTCTACTCTTAACTCCTAACGTAACTCGCCTTCTCACATTCTTTCTCACTCGTGCTCTCTTCATACCTGTCATTACCAATCGCGCAATCTGTCGTTGAGTTTCTCTCTTCGTAAATTCATTACCATAACTGCAGACCGGTTACATGTCCAAGATATTCAACGAACAATAATTCTAACAGTGCCTGCCCTCTCCCTCTCTTCCTCTCTTTCTCTCTGGCTGCTTCCCCTTAACTCGTCGTACGATCTCGCAATCGGTCGGATTTTCAGCAAGGGCAGCTTTTCCGCTCGATGCGTATGGAGATGGAACAAACGTCCGAACCAGGGTTCCATAATGTCCGAGTACTATCCAACTTGTTCCCCGGATTTGTCTCACTGTCCCGATAACAAGTGCGACGAGCTCGAACGGTTGGATCCTCGCATTTGTCCCCAGGATTGCACCGTTGAATGTGAGCTTCGTTCTTTTACCTTTTGCATTCTTGCTCTTCCATCTCGCTAACGCTTCCATCGGCGATAATCAATTTTAACGTTCCAGCGGACGTCCACTTCGCTCACATGAACAAGAACGGACGTGGCATCAAGAGCGGCTTGGGAACTTGCGCGTGCAACGATATGCTGCAATGCACGTGCAACGTGGATCATTTCCGCGCGCAAAACGACAGTCCTGGCAGAGGCGGCAAGCAGGGAATGGATGGAGAGGAGGGTAAAGATGGAAAAGGCGGGAAATCGCGAGACATAGAGGAGGAGATTGTGGTGACCGGCGCCCGAAAAGGTTCCACGATCATTCACTGAACCCTCGTTGCTTCGCGCATTAACCCCGCTATCTTCTTTAGAGATCGTTTTACGCCCGATCCTCTTCTTTTATTCTAAATTTCTCGAGTTTCGGATCAATCGGGGTTGAGGATATTTCCGATAATAGAGGCTCGCTCGCTACACCTATTAGCTGCTGTTATTCAATTTTTAGCTCGAGATAGTAGAGGCTGACGTTCGGATAACCGAGCCTGAACAACAATTTCGTCACAGATTGTGTCCAATTATGTATCAGCTCGGATAGAGCACACGGACGCGTACGACTTCGGAAGTCACGTTCGTATAAGAGAAAGTACGCTCGAGCGTAGGTCGAATAACGAAGGCTCGGTCACAGAGTTCGCATAACCGACGATAAAAGAACAACTGGTTCGTATAAACGGGGTTCGGATAAACAAACTTTTACCGCGTATATTACAGTATCTTTTTGGAATAGTAGAAATATTTTTGCTCGTTGAACGAAGAGTAAGATTAAGAGATTAAACTTGTAGGATCGCAACTGGATTAAACTCTTTCTTTTTTTTTTACGTAGCACCTCAAGGACCTTGTGGACCTATCTGCATGATAAGCCTGATAGGAGTCAGTTTCTTCGTGCTGATATTGATCATCAGTTCTCTCGTTACTTCGAGATACAGGTAGGTCACTGGTAAATTAATTATATGGTTTTGCCTGGTCAGTATAATAACACTGGCGATGAAAGAAGTCGAAACGCGCGAAACATGACCAAAGGCTAAGCGTTCGTATTAACGCGATGTTTGCGCAAACGAGAACGAAACACGAGTTCTCACGACAGCTGCGGAATTACAGCTGGCCAAATTCTAGATAACTCTCGAACGAGCGCTTTGTGCTCGAGTCACGTCGATCGTTCGATCCACCACCGAACAACGAGTTTTCGAAAGAAAGAGGATTCCTCTCCGAATCCGATTCTCCAGTATTTCGATAACGACGTTTAATCGGTAGAACGACGACCGCGCATATCGAGCCCGCGCAGAATCAAATGTTCCTTTTGTCACTCGATTGCCCGAGGTATCGATACGATTCTACGATAAAAACTTGTTATCACCGACGGTGGCGAACAGAAGGAAATTTGAAATGCGTATTTGCATACAACCAGGCGGCGGATATTTATGCAAATTCATATTTTTATGAATACGACTGAAAGAGTAGCACCCAGGCAGAGATTTATTCTACTTAGCAAATACCGTGACAGGTATTACGCTTTCAATATTTTATACAGGGTGGTTGGTAATTGGTGATACAAGCGGAAAGGGGATGATTCTACGCGAAAAAAGAAGTCGAAAATATAGAATAAAAATTTTTCGTTCGAGGCTTTGTTTTCGAGAAAATCGACTTTGAATTTTCGCTCGGCACGCGTGCACTTTGTCTCGTCTCGTTATAACGAATCTCACTGTAGATCGTTGTCTCGATGGAAAAATTAAAAAAAAAAATTTTATACTATACTTTTGACTTCTTCTTTCGCCTAGAATCACCCCCTTTTCCGCGTACACCACCAGTTACCAACCACCCTGTATATTTTCATATTAAGTGCAACTTTTCATCCTCGGATTTCACATTTCTGAATGATTTTTATGCAGTAACAATCACCTATATTATTACGTCTATTCGTAGTTTAATCGTTCTTGTCAATCGCAGCTTTTTTTCTAAAGTGGTGACGTTTTTTATACGGCTTTTCTTTTTGCTTCAAACTTCCCTTTGTCCTCCACTTTATTTCAAGACGAGATATACAGCCAATATATCACAAGAAAGCGAGTTTAAAAGTTTGTCTGCACACGAAATTGAAGAAACTTCCTCGTCGTATCCGCGTGAATGTTGGCGCGCGTCTATCTCGTAAAAGTTTGACAGTGGATATTCCGACTGACGTTCGTCGATGAGTACGACTGGCCGACGTAGATATTTCTCGCGAAATGATCGTCGACTTGCCGCGTCTATCCCGATTTTAAAAGTCGTCACGACACGGCAATATGATCGATGAGAGGATCTTACGTTTCAGACAGGGTAAGAAGCAAACTCGACGAAACGGAAAACGAAGAGTCGACAATGACTCGAACGTAGTCGGCATATTATCCTCGGACTACATTGACAGAGGCGACGGTTTGCTTATCGGCTTGGACACCTTCACCGCAGCCAATCGTCACCTACTTCTTCCGAAAACGTGCCCGGTAAGCAGCGACTCTTTGCCTCGAATCATTCATTTTCGTTACTCCTACGCTAAGCTCAGGATTCATCCGACCGACGAATATAATTCTTTGCCTCTCACCGCGTTGCAACTTTGTACGTGATCGTTTGTACCTATCCTTTGGTACAATTTCGGGTATTTCGCGTACGCTAACTCTAGAACTACCACAGAACGATAGTAAAAACGAGGTAATTTTTCATTTTCCATACATCTACAACGATGCATTGTTACAGATTTCAACGACGAATTAAAGCTTGTAAATCTTACCGCGTTATAAACTCTGTCCTATTATTCGCGCTTTAATTTCCTCGATGCAAAGTTTCATACTTTAGTAGCGGTCGATGGTTCTACCATTAAGTTAAATAAAATATTTCGATCGATCGTATTTCGTTTTCTTTTGAACCACATGCACCGTTACCGTACGTGTATCGTACGTTTTACGGTACGTTGCAACAAAGATACAGCGACGGAAATGGTTAACTGACACTTTCATGGACTTTGTTCCTTGCTCCTTCGCGCATTGTTCATTACCAGCGGTAAGATCATCGTAAAACACGAAACGAGAAAAACGGTGCAACGGAAACGTCGGAGACGTTGAATCGTTTTCGTTGAACTATTTCTCCAGCCGGATCCTAAATGGGAATTCCCACGAGCGCGATTGACCATCGAACAAGTGCTCGGCGAAGGAGAATTCGGCCGCGTGTTGCGCGCCAAAGCGATCGACATCGGTGGAATTCCAGGAGCCACCACTGTTGCGGTGAAAACGTTAAAGGAGAACGCGTGCGCATCCGAATTGGCCGACTTGCTGTCCGAGTATCAACTGTTGAAAGAGGCTCAACATCCGAACGTGATCAGGTTGCTGGGTGCGTGCACCACTCCCGGAGCGCCAGTCTACCTCATCATCGAATTCGCGGAGTTTGGCTCGTTGCGGTGAGTACGTAATCTTGCTTGCTGTTGCACGTCCACGGAGCGGAATGGAATTCCGCATAACGAGATTCGCCCAGAATCGCCGGACGATAACCGCTTCACGAGAAAACCTTCGTCGCGTCGCGTTAATTGAATTCTTCTTGCATCTCGCATTTTCATGGAACGCGGAACGAGGGACGGGCTCGTTTAAACGCGAAGAGACAAACGGCGACGAACAGGCGGCGACGCGGCGTTACGGCCGTGTCAACGCGCGACTCGCTTCTTCCAGTCTCCATATTATTACAATATATATTCCTCTTTATGCGGTTTCTTTTAAATTTCTAGCCATGTACGCGTCTAATGTTTTATCATATGTAGCAGGTCTTTGTCCTATCGACGATATTAACCAGCGTAAAATCGCTTGAAGTAACGTTGAAGGTCTTCGATTAATATTAAATAGAAAGGAAACATTCAGGATAAGCATAGTTATGCATTATCATTTTTTAATTGTAATACTAAGAATTTGGCTTTTATACTTTTTGCATTTAATAATAAGATGCAAATAAATTTTTTACATTGTGTACAGAAGAACGACGTTTCAATGTCTCTTCGGCAAAAGTTTCATCAACCTTTTTTCATAGCTTCCAGACACGTCACTTTGTTTTTGATTCTGTTTAAGAATTTCTCTCGAACGTAATGTTGTCGGAACACGTTTTCTCTCTTGCGTATATGGCGTTACTTGTGCATTTGCCAATTTTCCCAGAGACAGTGGTCGTCTCTAAAGTTTATGTCTATTCCAGTTACGCTCAATTACAGCGAACAAAACGTATACATTATATGCTCTGTTCGAATAACACGCAACCATCGTCTAATCAGGGACATCAATTGCGTTTTTAGTATCGTTATAATCTTCAACTATAAGTGGCTTTCTAACTTCTTCGTTATTGATACATTTAGCTCTGCGCAGTGTACTTTGTAAAATAATTAATATACTTTTCTTCGGCACGTACGTATTCTAAATTACGAAGACCTTCAACGTAACAACTTTCCTTTCGCGCGGAGACGATATTCATTTTGGAGGAAATTTTTTATAACGTTTCTTCGGAAAGGAATGTAAGCGTATGTCCTAAAATTTCAAGTAAAATGTCTATCGAAAACTACTTGTACAACAGAAACAAAATTCACGTTGGTTCAAAGAGCGCCACGTTCTTACGACCAAGTTTACTCTGCTACAAATACGATAAAAAACGGAGCAGATTCGGTTTTATTGCCGAATCGCTTCGTACATATGTACAGAACGAAATCGAATGTCGAACGTGATCGAATCGGTGATTTCAAGGAGCGTTCACATCGATATAGTTGTCAATATTTAAGGTACTCGATATTATCGTACGCGAGAGAGCCTCTAGACTCTAGACGATCGATATATATTGTCAATACAGTATTAAAAACCTTAAATATTGGCAATAACACCGATCGTCTGAACGCTCCTTTCCCATGTACATCCATGTGAAAATGTACATACGTACTACTACACGAGACAAAGAATTGATTCGGTAAATGAACGATTCGTCCTAGCATGAATAAACCGTAACTCAATAATAGTTATTACACGCTATAATGAATCCATTGATCGTATATTTGGAAGCTGAATGGCGAAAATGTAGAAACGTGCGAACGCTACTTTCGGGATTTGTTACGGAGTGATTATCGATTCGGTAAAAGTACCGCACAGTTTGAACAAGGTGTAACGCAGGATGCGGGAACTTTGCAGGAATTATTTGAGGCATAGCCGACACTTGGAGTCGGAAGTTAGAGCCGGTGGATGTTCGTCTTTATCCAACGTAGTTTCCTGCGAAGCGGATGGAAGGTCCATGTACACGGTCACGCCACGCGACATCCTTTCCTTCGCTTGGCAGATCAGCAAAGGAATGGCCTATCTCGCCGACATTAAGGTAATCCCTTGATCCGCGGCGATAGCCCGTTTTCTCACCTCGTTGAAATCCACACTAACTGTATCGCTTCGCCGTATTGTTCAGTTGGTTCACAGAGATCTTGCAGCCAGGAACGTGCTGCTTGCGACCGAGAAGGTCTGCAAGATCTCGGATTTTGGCCTGACCAGGGACGTTTACGAAGACGATGCGTACTTGAAGCGCAGCAAAGGACGAGGTATGCGCAGAACTGGAAAAACGATTAGCAGGCGAAATGATTAGCTTAGGAGCAGAGGAGGCATGGGGCAGGCTTCTTATCGTTCACTGTCATGAGTTGCTGTATGGTCTTTGTAGTTTAAAGTTGCCAAGTAATTTATTTGTGTGTATATGCACATATTGCTAACCTTTGTATTGGACATATCTGCGTGTTGCTGACAGTTACGTACTCTGGAATGTATATTACGAACATTTACTCGCTGCTCAAATGTGTCAGATACAATAATTCTGTTTTGTGAAATTATGATATTTTATGACAATAACGTACCGCTTATGTATAAACTTTCTTGTCTTCTCTTGTATGATCGTGTTAGATCTATCAGAAATAATCAGATTCGCGTTCCTTTGTCTGATCATATTTTCAATTCTCTAACGCGCGTTACTTTTTTCAAAAGCTTTCGAATCGACTAGAACCAACTAGACTCCTCTTGCCGCGGTTCGTTCTTCGTCTGCATAAAATCTAGCGCTCGTAAATCTTCTCGAGGTTTAGGACGAAGACAGTTTTAACGTGCATCATCCGCGATCAGCTAAACCCCCGTTTAATCCAACGTATATACTTTAATACGTATTTTCCTAGTGCCGGTAAAATGGATGGCACCAGAATCCCTTGTGGATCACGTCTACACCAGCAAGTCTGACGTCTGGAGTTTCGGTGTTCTTCTTTGGGAGCTGGTCACATTGGGCGCGTCTCCTTATCCAGGAGTGGACGTGCATAATCTCTACAATTTACTCAAAGCCGGTTACCGTATGGAGAAACCAGCGAATTGCTCGCAACAGTTGTGAGTAGTCCGACTTTACAAGACTAGCCATCGCGAGTTATAACTAGGAAGTTATCGTGAGTACGCGTACACCATTCGCAGGTACAAGCTGATGATGTCGTGCTGGCATCAAGAACCTGCAATGAGGCCTCCCTTCAAAGAACTTGCCAGTCATTGGGAAAAGATGTTAGAGGACAGCGTCGAATACTTGGACCTGAATCCGAGAACCGTTCACAATCAGGCCTATTTTGCTTCTCTTCACGCGTTGGACAGTCCATGCAGTACGTATCTCTCGTTTCGTTTCATCTCGTCTGGTTTCGGTATGACGAACGATTTTGTTACCGCAGGTTCTGGTAACGATGACATCGACGATGGCGACGAAATCGATACTTTGAGGACGAACGTTGTCAACTACCTAGAGAAACCGTGTTCCGATCCGGTGACAAAGTGCGACAAAATCGACAAACTCCACGCCCTGTGGCAAGAATCCGTAGCAACATTCCCCAAGGAATCCGTCAAGTCGTACGAGAACGATCAATCACCGCCGAGCTTCTGCGTGAATCACTACGAGAGTCCTATCAAATTGAGAAACACCAGCGTCACCAGCAACAGCGAGAACGATCTAGCCACGCCGACGAACGAACGTTCGCAATCCTACATCGACATGGAAGGCAAGAAATCCTCGGAAGTAGAAACGGAGACAGAGACAGAAGTAGAAGAACTACTTGTCTTCGCCAACAGAAACGAAAATAACGATGAAGCCCGCTCTAATTGAGGAAGTGAGACGCGTGAAGACCAGAGGGTGAAATATCGATGATATAGAGGTTCGAGAAGACAAATCGCGTCTTTTCTTCGTTCGAGAGGAGTATCGTCTAGCGTACGACGAGTATGCCATTACGAAACGAACGGGAACGTGATCGTTGAAACGATCGAGAGCAACAAACACCTTCGATACTGTGCCTTCTTTTTCTTTCTGTCGGGCATACGTGTCGCATATAAGAATACGAAACGATGAACTTTGCAACGCTAGAAAATCAGAAAAAGATGCGGATAGCATACGTCCAAATAGATAGATCGACGCTTCAGGAGATAAGAGCTGAAGAACGGTATACTAACGGTGATAGTATATAGTATGGAAATCGATATACAACATTACATTTTCGTGTAAACAGCCAGATCTTTGTGTAATTTATACTAGAAATTATTAACGAGTCTTTCTACTCAAGACGCCTGTTACAGCTTTATATATTCTTGGATTTTTACGATACAGAGCATTCGACGAAAGATGTTCCAAGCTATTCAAATTGCCGAAGCAAACCGCAGTTTAGTCACCCTGATGGAAATTTTCCTATTCGTTTCGTCATTTATGTCCTAACAAGCGATCAAATTGGAACGAACGAAAAAGAACAAATTAGATAAATGGCTTCTCACTGACGAAAGCTACGTCCCTAAAGGGTGACTAACGTTTAATTAACTGTGTAAACGCCTTCCGATAATTTCACGATCAATCGCGTAACAAATGATCGAACGAGAAGCGAAAGATCGTAATGATTAATATTAATTACTAAAATTGTCAAACTTTTAAACTTCCAGTTAAATCCTTCTTCGCAGCGGCTTCCAGCTTTTAACATTCACTTTATGGTGAACCGTCTGTTAAATAATTGCACGAAACGGTGATTCGACGATACACTGAAAGAGGCGGTAAACTTGAGTATCCTAGTTGTTGGTCGATGTAATCGTATTCGAACAAGACTGCTTTTTTATACCTCGGTGAATGAATTCACCCCTTTTTGGTTTACTTGTACAAAGCAGCGCATTCCATTTCGTTATATTAATTAGTCACTTGCCGTTTATGACGCAAGCGTTCAAGTACAAATTTAGTTATATAACACTGTATATTTGCTTACTTCCAATGGATCGACTAGTTCTTAGCACGATCAGGCACGTGCCATGTGAATTCCAACTATTATCATTATACCATCGTTAATATCGTGTTAAAACGTATACACGCGTGTGCAATGTATGCATGCGTAAAAAGATATATATTTAATATACCTGTGACTTAACGAATGGAGAATTGTAAGACGTAACTCACAATAAATGGACACGAGGAGCTGTATGGTAACAAAAAAGAAACTGGCGTTTATTAAGTTAAATCGGTATATATATAAAAAAAAGTCTTACATCTTGAAAAATTACCTAACTTACGCAAGTAAAATTTGTTCACAACGTTATGAATAAAGAATGTACTTGAAACGAAGTCACAAGTTCAATTCGTCGATACGAAACGAGCACGTATCGTCCTTCGAAGATTCACGAGTACATTCTTCCTCACCTTCTCCACCTTCTCCGAGCAAGTTTAATTCATCGATATTTGTTGCAAACGACTGAGACACTGCGTTATCATCCAGCACAGTTGACGTCCGATTATTTGCTGTTTCCGTCCTTTTCAACGTTAAAAGGTTTTCTAAAACACCAATATGTCAGCTACGCTACGAAACGTTCGAACTAACTAAATTAACGATCGATTACGAATCTATAAAGAACTGACCAGTTTCTCGTTCGTCTTTCGCAATGTTCGCATCTTCCTTCAGAATCTCGAGTTTTGCTAATTTCACGCTGTCCAGAAATTCCTGGTCGGATACCGAGGAACATTTTACGCGCTCCACCTTGTGAATAATTTTTACTAGTTTAGGCAACTCTTTTGGTAAAGACAGTCTCCTCAAATGCCTCGTTTCCTCGGGTACATCATCCGATTTACAATACGGCAATTGCACGATATAATAGCGCTTTTCTTTCTCCGACTGATTCTCTTTCACCAGTCTCAAAAGATAATTACCGGTGTTTCGATAAATAGCCGATGCCGCAGGCTTCTTAGGCGGCGGAGAAGTTGCGATAAGAACGACGTCTGCGTTTCGAAACGCAGCATCGCACCAACATTCTGGATCCTACGTTACGAACATAACAAACCAAAAGATTAACATTTCCGTGGGAATACGTGGAGCCGTTTGAAATAAATAGTCCCGTTACTGGCACTAACTTTGTCCGTGGTATCGGTAACATCGAGCATGTCTATCATGGCGTTAACGTCGCAAATTCTTAAATACTTTGCCAGCTCGATCATTACATTGATATGCGACAGTCGAGTCGGTGAGTAGACTAACAAACATTTCGGTATCCTTCTCCTTTTCAATACTTCTACAAAAGAGTGCGAAGCAAACATATAAATTTCAATGGCCACTCTGTATTTACAAAAATATTTTACAAACGTTGCAATTTTACCCTTTTTATACAATTTGTAAAGATGATAAAGGACGTACAATATCACTGGCGGTATCCACACAGTGCTAATAATCATGATCAATAAACGATGAGATGTTTCCTCTGAAAAATACAATTGCCGTAATGCTTAACAACTACGTCAACAAGAAAATATTTTCAGATAATACAGACGCGCATAGGAAATTTTTTTTTGCTTACGTATAATGATAAAAGGCGTGGTGCTGTTCACGCACCCATAGTCGCCACACTCTGAATGCATGGGAGCAACTTTAAAATAAAACACGCCGGTGTGAGCGGTAAAATTGTAGCGAAAATCTTGTTCACTGGTCATATTGAACGTTTTCACGAAATCCGTATCGTTGTTTATTAACCAAATTTTATACCCTGTTACATTATACACTTCTGGCAGTGGTTGCACGTGCAATGAAAGAAGAGGAGCATAGGAGACATCTATATATACAAATGGCCTGTATTCCTTTATACTTACATCTTCTCCTGAGATAGGACAAATTTAAGAGGAACCATCAATATCGAACAAACACACGACTGCTCATTTTCTTTCAATGAAAAATATCTGGCCTAAACACTCACCGATAAATCTGTGCACAGGTACATTGAAAACATATCTTTTGCTATACTTATATTTTTCTCCTGTTACGAGATAATCTAACCGGTATGGAACAGATTCGTAAGATACATCAGAAAATGGACAAGAAATATACAATTCCCGTGGTACTGGGTTGGTTTCGTTCCCATAAAGTTCTATGTACCTACATGCTGATTCGTTCTCATCCAGTAAACTTTGATAACGTGTAACCAGTCCTATTTAACGATAGAAAAGAATTTCAAGTAACGGAATAGAATCGCTTTATTCTATGATTCTTACCATGAAAGTCCACATTGGTAACGCTTAAGTTGAAAGCTGTCAGTTTATATCCGGATTCCTCATACGTGTATGAACGTAAATTAAATTTGGCTGTTGTGCCATCCTCTGGATAACGACTATAACCTTCGAACGTGAGTTTGGTGCAATCTATCGACAAGAAAAGCAAGTAATTCGCATACCTATCTCGTGATTCCCGACTCCTATCTTGTACATTAAAAATACATGCTGCACCACATAAGTCATCGCACTTTTAATCACTATAGCCGATGCTGAATGCATTTAATGAATATATCGTACCTCCTTTCCTTTGAACTTTTGTCAATAGACATTGGAAACCAGGAGTAGCGACTAATTTTGTCTGTAAAATAAACAGACAATTTAACCTAATAATAAATACTCAGCCTAGATACAGTGACTACAATAGATCCTGATAACAAGGTATTTCATTGGAAAAAGAGTATGTGTCAATACCTTTTGTAACAACTATGGACATTTAGAAATTCGAGAAACTAGTTGTAAAGGACTTGAAAAAATAAAAAATTACCACGTTCTGACAGTAGTCTGGATAACAATACATAGCTGCGACGCTTCTGCTCAAGTAACAAAGAAGCATCGCAAGATTGACAAGTCTCCGCATTGTAAGGTTAGAGTTACGAATTAACCACATTTATTAAAAAATTTGATCGAAGTAAACATATTTACGTTACACCCGACATCAACGATTGTCCCAACTTTCCATATTTTTACGATAACATATTACATTCAATCATAACGATTTACATTTTTTCAAGAACTACGATTTTTGCACAATGTAAACTAACGAGCACGCTTCCTACGTGTTTGTCTTTAAACACGCACTCTACCGAACAATGGCGCAACCTCACGAATTTAACGTGCTTTTCAACACAGATGATAAATGTGTCAAGTTATTCGTGATAAGCTCGTTACAAATGAACTACTTATCCTTAATTACAAGAAATAATACTTGAGAAACAAAGAAGGAAGATTCGTTTGTGAATCATCATCTTTTGTCGTATGATCCCATATAAAGTAAATTAGAAAAAGATGATCAACACGTTGGCTGGCACAATGGATATTGATAATCCACGTTATTAAATTCTTTAGAATGATCAAAATAAGATATATTATTTTATAGATTAAGAAATTTTCAACAATGTAAATGATTTAAATAACAATAATATTAAATAGATAGACAACATAATATTTAATTAATTAAAAGAAAATTTTTTTCTGATAATATTATCTAAATCATTCACATTGTTGAAAATTTGTTAGTCTATAAAATAAGAAAAATATTTGGAGAAATTACATATCATAGCGTAGTATGTTTCAATCTTTTGCGGCTCTCAGGACAAAATATATAAAATCCACGTGACAGTCACCGTGTTAAGGTACGTAGTAACGGAAGTAGTAATTACCACGAACAAAACAGAAGTCAAACCATATACTCCTATAATTATTTAGTCGTGTACCCTTATCACTTCTATCTTTTCTACAAAATATAAAAATGCAAAATGTAAAAATGTATTAAGAAGCATTCGAAACGAAATGTTTCTTAAGAGATTGCCAGCATTTGTAATAATCGTTGTCCAGTTTGTTGGAAAGATTTGCAGCCCATTCGGTTATCGCCAAACTATACGACGTTTCAAACATGAAAGCTTGTGTTCCATCGGCGACGCGTTCAGGTTTCAACTTGCTGTTTGAAGCAGTTTCGAAACAAGACGAATCCGGTCCATGTGGCGTCATAATGGAATGCAACGACGCCCCGCCTGGATGGAAACTTTCCTCCTTAGCTTCGTATCGTCCCTTTATCAGGCCCATGAATTCGCTCATACAATTTCCTGCAGGTCGAAGTGACACCATATAAACCATATACGTGGCTGTAGTTCTTAAGTATCTATTTTCATTAGCTTATAAACTGAGAAAGCTGAGCTTAGAGTTTATGAAATTGAATATTATCGTGTGGAGTTACAACTTAAAAGAACAGAATACGTTATTACTTTCTAAGTAGAATCTTCATCGTATTACCACCAATTTGTATTTCTTGCACCAATGAGACACACGTGGATTGGTTTATTACGTTATTTTGAAAAATGGAGTTGGAACTAGGGCGGCGATACGATACCGAAGAATGGAACAAGAACGGGAGGAAGAGAGAAAATGGAATCGGAGAAAGGAAAAATTGTAGGTTCCGCTCGAAAAGAAACAGCAGAATGGTAGTCGCGAAAGAAAAAGGAAGTCGATGGATATCACCGGAGAAAATTCCGAGTTTTCACCGGTATCTCGGTTACACGATTTTTAGAAGCGGTCTAGCATAACGAAGTATCGGGATCGAGCCATGCAGCTGACACCGAATCAGCATAGAAAAGCAAAAGGACGGAACGATCACTGTAATTACGCAGCGTTGTTTATTTCTCGAAAGTGAAAAGACGGAAAGGAAAGAAATGAGGAGAGGGGAGCACAGAAGCTGTCGATTATAGATCTCGACAGCATTATCGGAATCCGTGCTGCTTCTTATCACGAACGCAGATGGCTACAGCCATGGCTACGGCTTCCGATTCTCGAAATTTCTCCGTCACGTCCTACCATCGACGGTATCCGTTAGTTTCTTCTTTTTTTCTTTTTTCTCGCGTTGTCGTCTACAAAATATCGAATAGCCGACTTTCTATGCACTTACGATGATAATAAGGAGGCCGAAAAGTGTGCTCCTGCACGGACCATCGAGGTGGGAATATTACAAAATCGGCTGCTGCTGTACCGATCTTCCCGGAGGGACACGTCAGGACCGTGAAGATCGACGGATCCTGTAGCAGAAATAGACGCGTATAAAGGAAACGTGTATCGATTCGTTCGTGAATCAGAGAATGAAGGAGGTAACGTAGCTTTCGCAATACACTTACACAATGATCAAAGGAAACCGTATTAACGACCATGAATTTGTCGAGGTCGTATTTGAACGGAACGTAATTTCCATGCCAAGCTACCACGTCGAACGGACTGTGGTCTTGCTCGGCTACAAACAGCTTACCGTGATACTTGCACACGATCTCGTAATCGATTTCACGATCCTCGTACCACGCTACAGGCGTTTGAAAATCCCGTGGGTTCGCCAGGCCATTCGCTCCTGTTGCAAGATCAGAGTTCGGTTAGCGATCGGCAGAAAAACGAAAAACTGTAATCTCTTTACTCGATTATCCGCGTTACCTATCGGCCCCAATTCGGGCAATTGAAAGTGATCGTCGTACACCTCCAAGATGTATCCTCTAGATGGACCAAACACAGCAACGTGGAACCGCATACCTTGCTGGATCACGCATATCTCGTTCGGCTCACAACGCATTTTGCCAAACTCCGTGGTTATCAGTAACGCGCCTAGCTGCGGCACTGCGGGTAAAACGTTTTCGTCGATAAAACTAAAACTTTCGACCACCGTCATCGCCGACATTTTCCATGCGCGTAGTTCGGCTCAATTGGAGAGAGAAAGAAGAGGCTGACGAATCGGTCGGTCCATGGTTGGAACAACATACGTACCAATGAGAAGATCTCCGTCGGAATTGTAGAAGGCCTTGTTCTTCATGGAGGCGTTGCAGAGATACACATGGATCGCGATACCTCGGCGAACGCGAGCGTCTCCCGCGCCGCATAGCGTGTGCAAACCCTCCACGAAATCTACCTCCGCGGCTT